ACTATCTCCTCCTCATACTAAGTACAGTGAAAAATTAAGAAAATACATTGCATATGCACTGGTAGGCTTCTTGGAGGAGAGTCACTCCAAACACAGATGCTTTTGTATGGGTACTTGACTCTTAGGGTGCATCCAGACAGCCCCTTTACTGAAGTAACTCCCGCAATAAATTAATTGGTTTGTAGCTAATTAAGTCAATAGTGGATTTATTCCACGCCTTCTTAGTCCGGAAAATTGTGGGAATACCCACCCTTCCCCCAAATCCCTCAACCCCCCTTGAAAAGTAAAGAAAACTTTCTCGGCCTCCAGTACAGTGTTGCAACAGCTCTCCTGGCACATAGAAATGACGCACCAGGAGATTGGGGGGGGGGAGAGCAGCGATTTTCCTCCCCCCTCCCCTCCCGCTCTCCTGGCACATCATTTCTGCATGCTGGGAGAGGTGCTGAAAGACTGTTTTCTTTACCTTTCAAAGGGGTTTGGGGACTTTGGGGGAGGGTCCCCAGATATTCTGCCAGGCTAGTCCCAGCAGACCATCTGTACACCCACCTCAGAAAGCGTGCACTTTCTGGGGTGGGCATAGACAGGCCCCCAGGAACATCTGCATTTTTAAAACATGAATGATCCTGGGATAAAGGGCTGGCTGGAACCGTCTTTAGAAGCCACAAGCATCCAATTTGTGCATAAATCAGACACAATGTCATACAATAATTGCTGGATGCCCTGAGACACATCTGTGTGATCATGTAGGATAACTGTACAAATTTGTGGTATACTCTGGTGCAATTCTGTACATGATTACTTTGGAGCACATCTAAATGTTTCACTTAAGCCAAACTGATCCTAAAGGAAGTATTATGGATCAGTCCTGGGGAGTCCAAAAGGCCAGTCTCCAAAGCACTTTAATCACCTATAGCAGGAGTTCTCAAACCTTTTCAGTGGTAGAGCCCTTTCTAAGGCAAAAGTTTCTTGTGCAGCCCCAAGAAGTGTGTGTGTGTGTGTGTGTGTGTGTGTGTGTGTGTGTCTGTCTGTCTGTCTGTCTGTCTGTCTGTCTGTCTGTCTGTCTGTCTATCTATCTATCTATCTATCTATCTATCTCTATATATCAGGCATGGGCAAACATCTGTGGCGGCTTTATGAGTAGATATCAAGCTTAAAACCTTCCACATCTCAGATACTCAAACTATTTTATGAGCAATGAGTACAAAGAAAGACATGTGTTCCCAACTGGTACTAGAGCTGTGGACCTGCAGTCACAGTTCCTATGGAATTTGCTTTGGAGTGAGCATTTTATTCTTTCATTCCCTATTCCACAGGATTAGAGTCGTCTAAAATAGAATTAAGTTGTGTTTATTCCATTGACAAGCTAGTATTAGTAGCCTGATATATGTCGTTTCATGTATGGTTAACACAAACGTAAGTGCATTGCACTTCAATGGGACTTGTTCCTAGTTAAAAATGCTTAAAGCAGGGATGTGAATAATTCAGTCCTCCGGATACTGCAGCTCCCAACCATTTTATCCTGGCTAGGTTTGCAGTTCATCAAAATCTGTAGAGCTGCATGATTCCCATCCCCAGCTTAATGAATTAATCAAGACCACCTCATTTTACAGAGGACTCAGGATCTGAAGCTGGGTTTCTTCCATCCACACTATAGTCAGAACAAAATACTTTTCAGATATGAGGCAGCTTGATGTTATCTTCCCCTTCGGCTCTGTAAATATCAAGTCATAGAAAACAAGGGACAAGACATATTTTAATCTTCTCTATTCCAAAGTGACAGTGAATGAAGTAGAGAGTGGAGAAACTCAGATTGTGATGACATTATCACTTCTCAAATTTCTATATAACAGGAGTAATGATGGAGAAGAAAGGATAGAAAGTCAGATTATTAGGTTTTGTTATCAGGCAGCCATGCACCACCAATATGATGTAGCTTTAGCAGCAAAGCACACAGTATATGAAAGGTTAATAGAAGGCAAACGACTTGCTACCACAATAAATAAAGCTTTTATAAGCAACAAAACCTCATAAAACAAATTAAAGAGATATTGTAAAAAGGGAAATAAAGGTCAAATTCTCCAGTGCAATCCTGTGCAAAGCGAACCCCTTGGCTTATAATTTTAACAAGCCAGTTAATAACAGTTTTGTTAACTGTAGTATAAATCTGAAATGAAGCAGGGAGGGATAAAGCTAGCAAACAAGTCATAAAATATAGTTGTTACTTGTTCTGTGTGATTACTGTAGTAGTAAACCAAATCCTAAACCTCACAGCAATTTGTGAGGACTTTAAAAAAGAGGAGATTTTGGCAGCTGAATTGTAAAGAACATCACACACTCATATGAAGTGATACATAAAACCCTGAATGTTTAAGTCAAGCTCTTAAAGAAAAGGTAGATATCAGCAAATATGGAAAACACAAGAATGGCTATCAGATTGGAAAAAATCGACATATCCCCATACCAAAAAAGGAAACGCTAAAGAATGCTCAAACTTTCATACAGTGGATCTTATTTCAGGTAATACTCAAGATCCTGCAAGGAAGACTCCAGCAATACACGGAGCGAGAGTTGCCAGATGTACAAGCTGGGTTTAGAAAAGGCAGAGGAACCAGAGACCAAATTGCCAATATCCGCTGGATAATGGAGAAAGCTAGGGAAGTTCAGAAAAAAAACATCTATTTCTGTTTTATTGACTATTCTAAAGCCTTTGACAGTGTGAATCATAATAAATTGTGGAAAGTTCTTGGTGGTATGGGGTTACCAAGCCACTTTGTCTGACTCCTGAGGAATCTGTATAATAACCAAATAGCAAAAGTAATAACTGACCATGGAACAACAGACTGGTTCAAGATAGGGAAAGGAGTATGGCAAGGCTTTATACTGCCACCTAACCTATTCAACTTGTATGCAGAATACATCATGCGACCTGCGGGGTTTGACGAATCCAAGGCTGGGGTTAAAATTGCTGGAAGAAACATTAACCATCTTAGATATGCAGATGATCCCACTTTGATGTCTGAAAGTGAGGTGGAGCTAAGAAGCTTTCTAACCAAGGTGAAAGAAGAAAGTGCAAAAGCTGAGTTGCAGTTAAACATAAAAAAACCAAGATTAGGCAACCAGACTGATTGAGAACTGGCAAATAGAGGGAGCAAACATGGAGGCCGCGACAGACTTTGTATTTCCAGGTGTAAAGATTACTGCAGACGCAGACTGCAACCAGGAAATCAGAAGATGTTTACTTCTTGGGAGGAGAGCAATGACCAATCTCGATAAAATAGTGAGGAGTAGAGACATCACACTGGCAATGAAGATTTGAATAGTTAAAGCAATGATATTCCCTGTAGCAAGCTATGGATGTGAGAGCTGGACCCTAAGGAAAGCTGAGCGAAGAAAGATAGACACTTTTGAACTGTGGTGCTGGAGGAAAATTCTGAGAGTGCCTTGGACCGCAAGAAGATCAAACCAGTCCATACTCCAGGAAATAAAGCCCAACTGCTCACTGGAGGGACAGATATTACAGGCAAAGATGAAGTACTTTGGCCACATAATGAGAGGACAGGAAAGATTGGAGAAGAGACTGATGCTGGGGAAAATGGAAGGAAAAAGGAAAAGGAGCCGACCAAGAGCAAGATGGACTGGCTTGACTTTGAGGGAGCTGGAGGTGGCCATGGCCAACAGGGAGCTCTGATGTGGTTTGGTCCATGACGTCATGAAGAGTCAGAAGCAACTGAACAAATAAATAACAACAAAGATATCACGTTAGTTTCAGGTCCAATAAACCACAGCTACCAGCTAAGATTATTATTACTAGACCATTTGGAAGAAAAAAATCCTTCTAGATCAGCATTGTAACTTACAATCTATGTGCGTATCAATGAGGGGCTGACCCAAGATATTTTGCTGTCGATGTGATGGACACTCTCTGTATTCTGGTTGACCTGAATGGCAGGTGAATATTACTAATGGTTCAATATTGGCAGTAAAATGCTATTTAAATGACATTGGGTTAGCTTAGAGGACACAGAATAGGCTGTGTAGTATGCACATCACTGCCTTTCAACATCTGATTGCTGCTCTCAACCTGGTCTTGAATACAAGCTCCAGTTAAAGTGAACCATAATGTTGTACTTGAGCATCATGAAAGTTCCCCAAGTAAACTTACACATATGAGTGTTAAAGTGCCACATTATACCATTCCATCCAGTATGGCTGCTACAGGAAATGTGGATTACATGTTGTAGAAGGATTAGGAATGTAAACAACTATGGCTTTTTTGAATTTGTAAAATAGTGTAAAATAGTATGTAGAGCAGGTGGGAACTGTGGGCTCAAAGATCTTGGAGTGTAGTTCCCATAAGAGTAAAGAGTTGATTAAAACTACTGGGACAGCCCACTCTTACCAACTCATCATGCCTCCAGTTGCCAGCAGTGGCACTCCACTTCCCTGTGGGGCATGGAGAATCCAGTGCCCCACGCCCCACAATGCCCAGATCCAGGGGAAGGCAATCAGATGGGGGGAAAGCTGTGTGCTTTTTCCCGGCAGGTCAAGTCTATGGTACTCGTCATTTGTTTTCCTTGATACTACTGAAAACATTGGGAGATCATCCAGATTCATTTTAAAGTTCTGATAGATTGCTTTCACATTTTAACTAAGTTGTGTATTATTACTAGTTCCAAATCTTTTCTCCTAGACATTATCTTTACCATGCTTAGTGAGACCAACTTTAATCTATCTGAAATAACAGTCTCTTACCAATCTATTGGGAAGTTGATACTTCTGAAACACAAGAGGTAATACTAGAATTATATTTGGATCTCTTCACAGTCCATGAAAACAATAGTAAGTACAGAGAAATCAAAGATATAGAAATGTGTAATAATATTCAACTTATGGCATTGGCAATACTGGCAAGGAAGTTCTAATGACTTTTTAAAGTACTGCTCATAATGAAATAGAACTTTTAAGCAAGTACATTTATAACAGCACTAAAATCAACTTACTGGAACGAGGAATTTTTTAATTTCTTCTAAGGCGTGACTCATCCGTGAATAAGCTTCCCCGGGTGGGGCAAACACTTCAATTAATACGTGTAGTTCATCACTCAAGTGAGCATATTTTGCTTCCCCACTCTTCCTTAGTTCTTCTTCCTGTGGAATAGGGTATATTTAGAAATAGAAATCCACTTTGCATTGATTGGGCATTTATGGAGAACATGAGAAAAGGGCATAATCTGGGCACACTTTCAACAAAATGAGGTCCTTTGAGTAGAAAATATGGTATAAATAACTTGAAGATCTGAAAATCGCTTTGGAGTGTCTGAGTGACAAAAAAATAGGATAATTAATACCTACTACAGATCTTAATCAGCAAAGAGAAAAATGCTAAATACTTCCTAAGAATGTGTTGAAATTTCATGATGTGGTAAGCAACTCTCATTTTAAAAAGGAAGGATATATTCAGATTATTTTTTTTCAAGAGTGTGGAAAACTTACTTGAAAAAGTTAACTCACCAGCTGAAAAATTCTAGAAGTTGTAGCCCTCCATACCCTCAAAAACTAACTTGTTTCTGCTTTGTTTTTTCTATATTATAAGATGTTTTGGGTGGGATGAGCTTGCTTAGGTGGGCAATAATAGAATTCTGCACTCACAGAATTAGTCCAACCCAAGGAAACAACACACATTCAAAGCATTGAGCTTCTAATTCTACTGGTTAATTTGCAATCAAGTGTTCCAATTAGACATTTCATTCTGTTTCTATGTGGCTGAGACATTCTATTATTGCATATTACATTTATAGACAATTTTGCAATGAAGATCAACATTTTGCAAATTATACAATATTCCGCATATAATAGTTGCTTCATAAATAATTAACTGGAAACAAAGACTGTGTAGAGAAAATCATATTGTTATTGTTTGCTTTTAAGCCATTTCTGATCTATGGCAACCTACAGTTTATTGTTGGCAAGACTTGTTCAGGCATAGGGTTGCCATTGCCTTCATCTGAGACTGAGGGCCATATCAAGGCAGATAATCCACAATATCTTATTTGAACTGGGTTATCTGGACTTCAGTCCAGGTTTCTTGAGAGACCATGTCCCCTCTATACAGGTCAGGTAGATCTCTAAGGCAGTGGTTCTCAACCTGTAGGTTCCCAGGGACCTGAGGCCCCTTCTACACAGCTGTATAAAAATCCACATTATCTGGAAAAACCATCCTGAGATGGGTTTTAAGCAACCTATTTAAAAATGGATATAAATGTTTTTTAATTTTTGTGAATATTTATGGTTTTATGTCCCAGCATTGAATGTTTGCCGTACATATGTTGTGCTTCGCCCTGCGTCCCCTGTGGGTTGAGAAGGGTGGAATAGAAATGTTTCAATTAAATAAATATCGCAATGTAGACTAAGGTAATACAGTTCAAATCAGATAATGTGTATTTTCTGCTTTGGAGTTATCTGGCAGTGTAAAAGGGGCCTGAGTGTGATTTGCTCAAGGTCAGAGGTTTCCAAACATTTCATATTGGTGACACACTTTTTATTTATAATTTATAATTTATTATTTATTAACTTTATTTGTACCTCGCTAACATCTCCCGAAGGACTCAATGCGGCTTACAAAGGCCAAGGCCTCAATAAAAACATCTGCATAGCAATACATATAACATTATAAAGCAAATCAAAACATCAAGCAATAACAGTAATAATAAACAATAAAACAATACACCATAACACAATAAAACTAGGGCCGGGCCGAATGTAATGGGTACAAATTAAAAAGTGCTGAGTATGGCAGGTGGAATATAGGATTTTTTAGACATGCATCATTTTATGATACTGTAATTCAGCTTTACTAGCAAACTAGAGGCTAAACAAGCCATTTATGAGATACAGACACATGCATCACTTGTAATAATGACATATATGGAAACACAACATATCTCATTAAAACCTTTCATATATGTGTGCAATTTATTGCTTATTTCACATAGACTCAGAGGTTTCTCATTACATTTGTGCAACATATCAACACACTAATGTATCATGACACACAGTCTGGAGTTCTACAAACTACAAGAGAGGAGATTCCATCTGAACATTAGGAAGAACTTCCTGACTGTGAGAGCCGTTCAGCAGTGGAACTCTCTGCCCCGGAGTGTGGTGGAGGCTCCTTCTTTGGAAGCTTTTAAGCAGAGGCTGGATGGCCATCTGTCAGGGGTGATTTGAATGCAATATTCCTGCTTCTTGGCAGGGGGTTGGACTGGATGGCCCATGAGGTCTCTTCCAACTCTTTGATTCTATGATTCTATTATTCTGCCATAGAGATTCAAATACCAGTCTTCAGAGTCTATTTCATTGTTGACCAGTTGTATGCCTTAGAGGTCCACCTGACCTGTACTACGCCACACTGGCTCTATAAAACGACATGAAAAAAATCAGTAAAGTGCCTTTAAAGCCCTATATGGGTTAAATTATCATATGAACCTGCCTAGCCCTGAGATGTATAGTCCCTTCACTAAGTCCAAACACTTTCGCAGGCATACCTGGTGGTGACCATTGGTTCCATAGGCAGACAAGAACTTTTTTTTATTCTGAGAAGCTTTTGATTGTTGCTTTTTTTTTTTTAAAAAAAAAAAGAACTTAAATTAAATAGGGTACTGTACTGTTTTAATTGCGTTTATTGAAACTGTATGCTGTAATGTTATTGATAATTTAATTGTATTTTAAAGTTCACCATTTATATGTTTCAATTATATTGTATTTTTCTTCAAATCTGTAAGCCATACTGAGGTCTAGTTTTGGGGAAATGTAATTGCTAAAATGTAATTTAACCACTCATAGAATTAAAATCATTTAGAATTAATAAATTAAAAATACAAAGATAAACGTCAATAGAACAGCACACTGTTAAAATGCCCTTTTGGTTATTTCCCAAAAGCTGGTCATAGTAGAAAAATGTTCTTTTCTGAATGGAAGCACTGCAAAGAGGGAACAGTCCTAGCCTCTGTGGGGAGACAACTGCAAAACCTAAGAAGAAACCCTAAAAATACCCAGGGCTGAAAGAAGGGCTTCACCTAAAGATCTTAGAACCCAGACAGGCTTCAGAGGGGAAGAGATGCTTTTTCAGAAAGCCTGTTCCCCAACTGTACAACACTTTATAGGTTGCAACCAGCACTTAGGATTGTGTCAGAAAATGGAGCAATAGCCAGTTAACCTGTGATAACAAGGGAGTTACATGGACCTTGTAACCTATCCCTGTTAATAGTCTGGCCACAGTCCTTTAGACAAACCGAAGTCCCCAAAAAACTTTAAAAGGCAGCCACATAAATAGTGTATTACATAATCTAGTAGTACTGTAAACCGCACTAAATAGGAAAGATATTCTGTAATTTCTCACATATTCCATAGTATTTCAACCACTCATTTACTCTATGTGGACAAATGACCTTATCAGCATCCTGCTTGGCCTGGCTTCTGTCAAGGAAAGAGGGAGCAGCAGGGCAAATCACATGGGGAAAGCATTACCCTCTCAGGGAGGAATAGTGGGGTGAAAGCGGCTGTGATATCTGGCATTGGCGTCCATTCCCGAGCATCCTAGGACACTGATTCACCCTGATTTCACCCCTATACACACACACACATATACATACATACATACATACATACATACATACATACATACATACATAGAGTATTCCTATGTGGAAGTATTTTACTCCAGCATTTTCATGTTTACTCATTGGGAGAGTTATGGTGTAGCTGGCAATCCTTCCCTATCCAGATTCTTTGCATTTGCAGTGCCAGAGGCTGCCATGTTACAATATACTTTTTTCTATCAATTCTACTAAAACATATAAAGGAAGAAACTAACTTTTTATTCAGAGAATATTTGAGAAGAACCTATTGCTATTTTTCATTATGTTTAAAATTGGGCATTTTATCTCCAGCACCACAAATCAACTGGCACGGTATTTCACTGAAATTGAAAGACTGCCAGTCTGTCAGATAGACGTCAAAAATAAAATCACACTGGTGTTTTTCTCCCTTTTTATATAAATGGTTTCCACAAACTGAAAAGTTTCACTTTGCCCATCAAGGAAATCAAATGAATATATAGTCATTATTTATATTCATACTTTTCCTTCTTGGATTTTGGTCAGAAAAATGCAAGAATGCCCCATCTTTCTCACACACATACTCACACACTGGTGGTTTGTAGCATTCATCTTTATTTTTTCAGCTAAGGCCTCAGTGTAGTTTTTTCCAGGGACAAAAGGCCTTCTCTGGTATCCTTTCCAAACTTTTTATTTATTTATTAAGTATTTTTATTCTGCCCTTCTCAACCTGCAGGGGACTCAGGGTGGATTACAATGTACATATACATGGCAAACATTCAATGCCATAGAGATACAACATATACAGACAGACACTCAGAGGCTATTTAACATTCCAGCTTTTTATGAGGGTAGTCTGACTACCAGGGGAGCTGTCACTTCACTGTCCATTTGTGACACTGATGAAGTACTTCCTCATTCTTTGCATGCTTGCTGGAGATTTTTATGGCCTCGTAAACTAGTTAAATTAGCTTCTCCACATAAGTGGTACCTAAATTTCCTACTTGACATATGTATCTGTCTTTCGGGCTGCAAAGATCAGCAGCAAGCTACACAAATTGGTCAGAAGTTCACTCCGACCCAGGCTGGCTTCGAACTCATGACCTTTTGGTCAGTAGTGATCTTATTGCAGCTGACTCCCAGCCAGCTGTGCCACAGTCTATTCACTAGCCATCCTATGGTTTCCCAAGAAGAGCAGAATAAATGGCTAGGCATATCCTAAAATTCAGCATGGTTTTGTGGTTTTTATGTTGGACTGGAAACCTAGCGTTTAAAACCCACTCAGATTTGGAAACCCAGTGGATCACCTTGGGCAACTCTTACTTCCTCAACCTATGGGGAACGCAATGGTAGCATTCTTCTCATTTAATCTTGCCAAGAAACCCCTGTAATAAGGTCACCATAAATTAGAGTTGACTTAAAAGAACCCAACAACAGACAAGAAGGCATACAGTATACCACTGGAAACATAGAGATCCTAGAAAAGAAAGGGTAGAGGGGCTAAAGGTCCCACAAGAGTTTATCTAGAGGGAA